AAAATGCATTAATTCCATGAGGTTATATAATAAGGAAAAAAGAAAAAAGAAAATAGAAAGCGTGTGTTACGAAAACGCATTTTTCGACTCACCAACCGGTGTAGAAGAGTTTGAGTTTGAGATTGCAGCGAAATAGACGGCAAACAAATGTCAAGAGTGACGTCATATGGATTAACGAAATCGCTAAGCTCCGATGAAACTCGCTGGCCAATCTGAAGACACTCGCGCGTGAGGCTACCGTTGATCTTTTGCTGGCGCAATATTTTGTAGAAATTGCAGACGACGGTGAGTTGGCCGTACTCGTAATCCGATATTAGTCCGTGAGACCATAAAAAGTCCGATCTTCAGTTCAAATCTGTAGCTAATTCCAGAAGAGGATTTCCAATCTGCTTCATTATTATTATTATTATTATTATTATTATTATTATTATTATTATTATTATTATTATATNACCAAGAATGTGTTTGTTTACAAATATGCCAAAAAAAAAATTAATATAAACTCAAAATCTAATTCAATTTTAACTCAACCACATTATATCTTCAATATTATCATTAATGTAATTAAATAACATTAATTAATTATTATATTATATGAATGACACGTGTGCATTAGCCACTGATCCAACAAAATGATACACGAAATGAAATATAAAAATGGAGAAGCAGATTTTCTCTTGAATTCTACATGTCCACCTCTTAATTGTGATTTGTTATCCCAAATACATAATAAAATTAACATAGTAAAAAATAATAATAATAAGATGCTAAAGAATAATCTTGAGACTCAAACTCACTCCAAAGTCTCTCAAGATACTTTAAAGATCAAGAAATCACCTAATTCAAAACACAATTTTATTTTCCCCAACTCTCTCTTATTCATTGCAAACAAAGTTTCTTCTTGTTTGCTATGCCGTTACCAACGGCAATGGCTTTCCCCCAACAAACGAGCCGAACAACATGAGTGACCTCTCGGGTTGCGAGAATGGAGCTTCGTGTGAGGCCCCACGAATAGTCGCAAACGATAAATATTCACCATAGGCTTGTGTCCAGCCAGCAACCTATGTAAAAAGAATCATCGATATATGGGTTTATTTGAAAAATAAAAAAAAAAAAAATGACCCTGATATTTTAGCCAAATTTAGAAACAATTTATATTTCTGACCTGTCTACCCTCGAACCAAGCTCTGTAAGGTTGTGTGGTGTTCAAATCGAGGTCCTTTGCCAGACCACGAACAAGCGTTCGTGTCGATATCAGTGGAAGAACCGAATCTTGGTCCCCACTGTAATAATTAATCTCACACGTGAAAGTCGAGTAAATTTGGCAAGCGATGATCAAAGTTTAATTGAAGGACTAAATTGTAATTAAGGGCTTACCTGTAAACTAAGACCCGAATGTTGGACTTGACTAGTGATCCTAAAATGCCGATGGTCGGTATTTCTAGATTTTGCATGTCATACTGCAGAACACTGGAAAACCACTCGAATAAATTAGGGGAAAAAATTATACAAGAGGTGTTCGAAAATTGTTAAAGATGCAAAAAATATCATTACTAACTTAATAATTTGGCAAGACTGTATTGGTCTTAATTACCAAGATTCAATTTTTTTTATTTTCTTTTACTCAGGGACGTTCGGAAAGTGAACTTTTTCAACATGTAAAAACTTGCATTTTTTTCAGTACATTTTCAATTGAAAGGGAGAAGGAAGGAACTATATATTACTCGCTGCAAATGCTCCATTTCTTAACTCCGAAAAGACGAGCATGAAGAGCCGTTTGCACATCTTTTCTGTTCAGGTACACATCAGTTTCGTCCTCTACGCATACATCTATCTTCGGCTCATCCTGCTGTAAAACACATCATC